AATTACAAATAGATTGTGTAATGAGTCATGTGTACCTCAATTCTTAGTCGACAAATTCATACTTGACATCGAGACATTCTCAATTGACACATTCTTGAGTCGTTGGTTCAGACATCCGTAGATGCCAATTTCTTGAGTTGCTGGTTCAGAATTGATTATTTTGGAGCGGGAGCATCAATGAATGTTTTTCTCTTTTTTGGAGAAGGAGCTTAGACGAAGAGTGAACCGATCAACTGGCGAGCCTCTACGATTTTGTTGGTATTGGAGAGCATCAAGCGCAAACCCAGATCAAAAGCAAAAAAAAAAAAGCAAAATAACACCAAAATTGATTTCCGCTTCGTCTTCTTCCAACCAATCACAATGCGTTGTTGTTTCTCTCTCTTCTCACCAAAACAACGACGAGTGCCCGGTAGCAACCCCCTTAGCGAGTGCTAGGGGGCGGTGTTTCAAGGTGGCTAGCGAGCGTAGCGAGGCCGGTGGCGACGTCCACTCCGCTTAGCCTAAACGATTTTGTTGGTTTAAAGTAAGTTTCTTTTATTGAATTTATACTTTATACAACTATTGTCATAAAACTAGTATGTTTTCGAAAATTAATTATTTTTTAAGGGTTTTCGAAAACTGATGATATTTATAATGGTTTTGAATGTTGGATAATTTTTATGAAAAGTCTTTTAAAATTCAATGACAAATTAAATAAAGTTATAGTTATCTTCTAGGGAAATCTACAGAAAAGACTCATTATTTTTAAAAAAAATTAACGACTAAGTCCCAAAATTATTTTTTTGAATAAAAAAGCCCAAGAAACCACCAAATTTCTTAACTTTTGCTTATTTTGATTTGTTCAGCATGTAATGAGACCAAATCATTAATTTTTTCAAAATAATGAAGTTTTTCTACAGATTTTCTCAAAATTTGTATATATGTATAAAATAATTTTGTATGTATTTTTTAAGAATTTTTATATTTTTTTTATGTATATATATATTTATTAATTTTTTTTATATAGGTTTTTTTATGTATTTTAAATGTATAAACATATATTTTACGTATTTATATGAATTTTTAAGTATTTTTATATATTTTTATGTATTTTAGTATAATTTTCATGTATATATGAATTTTTTATGTATTTTTATGTATTTATTTTTCAAAGACGATCATTAGTAATCAACGTCATTTTTGCAGGTAAATACATCCAATTTTTATTGACTTCAGTTTGTAGATGAAACAAATTTACGAATATCTTTATTAACGAAAAAGATATTTGTAAATTTTGTTAATCTACAAACTGAATTAATTTACCCGTAAAAATAACGTTGATTGTTAAGGATCGTCTATGAAAAATATTTGTTTTGAAGTATTCTAGTGTTTTTTTTCTTCATTTAGAAAGTCTAATAGTTAGCTTACAATAAAACTTGAAGCAAAAAAAATAATACATAACTATGTAAAAAAAAAAATACCAAAATACATAAATACATGAAAAAATATACCAAAATACATAAAAGTATGAAAAAATATTCAAAATTTTATATAAATATGTAAAAAAAATTACGTTTATACATTTAAAATACATAAAAAAAACTATATGAAAAACTTAAAAAATACAAAAATACGTAAAATATATATAAAAATATGTAAAAATACCTAAAAAATATATAAAAATATACTTATATATTATATACAAATTTTGAGAAAATCTGTAGCAAAATCCTATTATTTTGGAAAAAATAACAATTTGGTTTTATAACCTGTTGAACATGTCAAAATTGGCTGAAGTGAATAAATTTGTTGGTTTCTTAGGTTTTTATATTTAGAAAATATATTTGGGCTTAATTATTAATTTTCACAAAATAATAAGACTTTTCTAGAGATTTATCTTATCTTATATTGTAATTTGCCCTTGTTAACAATAATTTCAATTGACTTACCTCGTTGTTGAGTTCAACTTAACGAGAAAAAAAAAGGAAATGAATGGAAGTGAGAAGAAAATAAAAGAAATTAGTATTCTTGAGTTTCATTAAATGATTGAAAGTGAAAATAGAATGATTACTTTCTCTCCTAATTTTTCTTTCGATTGGGAAGAATTTAGAGAGAAAAAATAAAATGTTTAATTTTGCTTTCGTTTCTCTCAAACTCGGGAACACAAATGACAAATTTTTTTTTTTTTTTTATTTCTTTTTTTTTCTCTCTCCTTATTTTTTATTTTTCTATTCTTTTCTTTCTTTTACTAAAAATGGAAGAAACGATAATCATCACATCATCTCATCTTATGATAGAAAGGCCCTAGTCCCACTATGATTCGGATTAAAAGTTATACTAATGATTTGTCTTTTACTTAATATTTTTTTAAACCTAAAACTGGACATACCTATTTAAATATAGCTCAATACATATCTATGGAAGGCAAACGGACAACAAGCTGCGCCACTAGCCATTTCTGGATGACAAAACTAATTCTTTTGAAAACAACATCTATGGATCTAGGAGATATAACATTAGAATGCATGACCCGTTGGACTCTGTTGAGGAGCTCCACCGCCTCTGGTGCGACAAAACCAAATGTATCATATGTAAAAGGTACAAACACATGTTGATTTTCTATACATGCATTTTCGTGCTTTGCCATTTTGTACGCAACAGTTTTCAAAGCGGCATGCCCTGCTGTGAAACCGCTCCTCAAACCTACGAGAGGAGAGACCCCAATAAGATCCACACAAGTGTGCTTCCCTCCTATCCATCAAAAGACCAAAATGTCACCCGACCTGAGTGTGAATCTTTCATCCTGCGGGTCCGTCAAAAAGTTCATTGACGCTTCTTTCTTCACAGAAATACCAGCACGTCGACAAGTATCAAAGAGAACATCCCTAACCACATCATGTCGGTACTTGAAACCACGAAGATCTCTACAATAAACCGCATGTTCCCCAAAAGTGTCCAAACATGCCTTACGGCAAACTGGACATATCTCGTCAATTAGAAATAGAGAAATCATGAGACGGTAACGAATGATAGTTCGGTACTCCACATGAGACATATGAT